ACTTGATATATATATATATATATATATATATATATATATATATATATGTGTGTGTGTGAAGAGTGTATTAATTAATTAGTTAATTATTTAATTTATCCCACCATTCGCTAAGGGAAAGTTCACAAAGTGCAACTTCCAGTGCAAAGCTAACAGATTGTTTTTAATTAGTAAATCAATTTTATTGCATATTTATTATAGTTACTATAAATGATGATATACACTATATATATATATATATATATACACGCATGGCTCGAAAACATTAAAGGAACACTTTGAAAACACATCAGATCTCAATGGGGAAGAATCTCCTGCTGGATCTCTATACTGATATGGATGGGGCAATGTGTGAGGAACGTAAGGATGTCCCATCGTTTGATGGAAATGAACATTATCAACCTACAGAGGACTGAATTCAAAAAGACACCCCGAAAATCAAAGTGAAAAAAATGATGCAGCAAGTGAGTCCATTTTGCTGAAATGTCACTGCACCAATTCAGAATGGTCCTCAGTAGTTTGTATGGCCCCACATGCCTGTATGCATGCCTGACAATGTCGGGGGAGACTCCTAATGAGACGACGGATGGTGTTCTGGGGTATATCCTCCCAGATCTGAACCAGGGCATCAATGAGCTCCTGGACAGTTTGAGGGGCAAAACATGATATGCCAGATGGACCAAAATATGATATGCCAGATGTGAACTATTGGATTAGGGTCGGGGGAGCGTGGGGGCCATTCAATGGTATCAATTCCTTCATCCTCCAGGAACTGCCTCGCCACATGAGGCCGGGCATTATCATGTACCAAGAGGAACCCAGGACCCACTGCACCAGGAGGAACCCAGGACCCACTGCACCAGGAGGAACCCATGGCCCACTGCACCAGCGTAGGGTCTGACAATGGATCCAAGAATTTAATCGCGATACCTAATGGCAGTCAGGGTGCCATTGTCTAGCCTGTAGAGGTCTGTGCGTCCCTCCATGGATATGCCTCCGCAGACCATCACTGACCCACCACAAAAATGGTCATGCTGAACCATGTTACAGGCAGCAGAACGTTCTCCATGGCTTCTCCAGACCCTTTCACGTCTGTCACATGTGCTCAGGGTGAACCTGCTCTCATCTGTGAAAAGCACAGGGCGCCAGTGGTGGACCTGCCAATTCTGGTGTTCAATGGCAAATGCCAATTTAGCTCTATGGTGCCGGGCAGCGAGCACAGGGCCCACTAGAGGATGCCGGGCTCTCAGGCCACCCTCATGAAGTCTATTTCTGATTGTTTGGTCAGAGACATTCACACCAGTGGCCTGCTGAAGGTCATTTTGTAGGGCTCTGGCAGTGCTCATCCTGTTCCTCCTTGCACAAAGGAGCAGATACCGGTCCTGCTGATGGGTTAAGGACCTTCTATGGCCCTGTCCAGCTCTCCTAGAGTAACTGCCTGTCTCCTGGAATCTCCTCCATGCTCTTGAGACTGTGCTGGGAGTCACAGCAAACCTTCTGGCAATGGCACGTATTGATGTGCCATCCTGGAGGAGTTGGACTGCCTGTTCAAGCTCTGTAGGGTCCAGGTATGGCCTCATGCTACCAGTAGTGACACTGACCCTAGCCAAATGCAAAACTAGTGAAAAACAGTCAGAAAAGATGAGTAGGGAAAAAAATGTCAGTGGCCTCCACCTGTAAAACCATTCCTGTTTTGGGGATTGTCTCAATGTTGCCCATCTAGTGCACCTGTGGTAAATTTCATTAACACCAAAGCAGCTGAAACTGATTAGCAACTCCCTCTGCTACTTACCTGATCAGATCAATAAATATATATTTTTTCATTTACTGAGCTATGGGGAAAGTGGAGGGCTGAAGACTGTTCCCTTTGCCATGGACTTGCATTTTGCAAAGGCATTCTCCCCAGATCTCAATGAATTTGGTGAAACTTTACTTTGCAAACATTATCCAATCATGTGCAAGGAAAATAAAAACATTATTTCTTGCTTGGTTGATGGAACTCAGAAGAGTGGCAAAGTGAACTGATTATTTCTCTGTAATAAATAAATCCCATTGCATCTGTCAAGCTCTGTACTATATATATATATATATATATATATATATATATATATATATATATATATATACTGTATATATAGAGTAGTATACATGGCAAAATAGCATGGAAAAAGACTGTTTTTTTTATGGAGTACAATATGACAATATTTGAACAAAATTTAACTGCATGGTTGAGTAGCCTGAAAGAAGCGTTTACTGAAACAATGCCACAAAAAAGCCCAGTTGCAATATGCCCAACAACACCTTGACACTCCTCACCGGACTTTTTATGGCATTGGTGCAGTAAAGGCTTCTTTCTTCTTTCCATTCAGCTCATTTTTATTCAAGTATCATTATAATGTGCCCCTTGAAACAACCACACAGCCTTTTCCCAGAGCAGCCTGTTTTTTTTCTAAGGTTACCTGAGGGGTTTTTCTTTTTATCCCGAACAATTCTTCTGCCAGTTGTGGCTGCAATCTTTCTTGGTCTACCTGACCTTGGCTTAGTAGCAAGAGATCCCCAAACTTTCCACTTCTTAACAGGGGCGAACTAACCATTTGGAAACTCGGGCACTGCCCGAGGGCCCGGGGTCAGTAGGGGGCCCCATAAGATGCCCCTGGTACCTTTTTCATAGGCTTTTTTGAGTTTGCGCAAGGAAACAGGGGCCCCATGATCCCCTATTGCCCGGGGCTCCATGAGTTGTCAGTCCGCCCCTGCTTCTTAATAAATTATCGAACAGTACTTACTGGCATATTCAAGGCTTTGGATATCTTTTTATGTCCCTTTCCATCTTTATAAAGTTTCATTACCTTGTTACACAGGTCTTCTGACGGTTCTTTTCTGCTCCCCATGGCTCAATATCTAGCCTGCTCAGTGCATCCACATGAGTTAAAAACTTATTGACTATTTATACACAGACACAAATTGCAATTTAAAAAGCACAGGCGAGAGTGGCTTCTTAGGATCATCAGGATCGCGGAAATGGAGGAGCTGATTTCAGTGGCAAAGGAACACCCCGAGAGATTCAGGAAGACTTGGGCTTGTTGGACTCACTTCCAAACTACTGATACTTATCGTTGTTTAATGAGGGAATGAACAAGAAGAGATTTGGAGACACGGAAAGCCTTGAAAGCTTTCACCTCAGGAATAGATGGAGTCTAACCGAACTGTATCCCAAATTAAAGATAGAATCTGTGTCAGTTTGGCCGTTGCTTATTGAGGTGACTGGTTTGGTTGCACTTATTTAATTATAAACCCCATCCTTCCCCTCCCCTCCCCCCCTTTTTTTTTTTCCTTCCCCTCCTCCCTATATGTTGTCTTTTGTGCTCCCCCCCCCCACTCCATTATGATATTACTTTTCATATTCCTCTTCCATTTACGCACTCTTCTCTTTTTTTTTCTTTTCTTTCTCTCTCTCACACCTTTTTCATACTTTTCATAAGGTACAGAGTATTCATACATGTACAGGTGTGACGGTTATCTACAAAACTAACCTACATTTTTCGGGTACGGAAACATAGGACATATATGCCTTGAGATGACACTTTTGTCTTACATTTCACAGTCCTGTTATCTGAGATCTCCCTACACAATGGACTAGTGTGCATCATACTTCTCTAAATTACATACTGTTATCATTATTTTTACTGTATATTATGCATCTGCTTTATTGTAGGACTTTGTTTCAGGATGATCTACAATTTAATTAAATGTCTTGGTCCCGTCTGCGTTACGGGAGAACATGTAAGAGGACTGCGATCCGTATCTGTATATGACTTGTTATGCCTTTCATATTTCAATAAAACTTTTTTTGGAAAAAAAAAAGCCACAGATGTGGGACATTAACCTTTAATTGCCATTTTAACCCGTGTGTGTGTCACCTTGTGTGTCTGTACCAAGGCCAAACATTCCAGGGGAGGGAAACATTTGATCCGGGCCATTTGGGTGATTTCTGTTATCATTATGTTTTAACCACTTGCCGTCTGCCTGCTGTTTATAAACGGCAGGGCGGTGGCACTCCAGGGGCGGGTTTCCGTTCATAAACAGCACCCGCCTTTTCTAGCACGATTGTCCTATCACATACCTACACCCCTTTAACCACTTCCCGAAACGGCCTCCCCGCACCCTGCTTGTGCGTGCTTTCTGGGAGCGCAGCACCGCGATACGGTGCCCGCTGTGTCCTCCGGACACAGTGAAACACTGATCGTCGGACGGGACCTCTGTACGAGGTCCCGATCATGTGATCACTGATTGGCCAATCAGTGATCACATGCAAAGTAGTAAGCAAGATGTCACTTGTGACATCATTGCTTACTACGTGTGAAATCTGTGAATGATCACAGAGGTCACATGGTACAGGGCTATTCACAACAGCCTTGTACCATGTGACAAGCTGTGACCAATCACAGCTCACTCAGTACTTCTCAATGACTGCAAGAATGCAGACAGAGAGAAAGAGAAATGATTGCTTTTACATCCTATATGGGTGTAAAAGCAATCAGTGTAAAAAAAAAATTAAAAATCTTCATCACCCCCCACAAGTAGTACAGTGTCACCATGGTGACAATGTACTGCTAGGGTGACAGTATGTAAAAAATAAATAAATAAATAAAAAATAATAATATAAAAAAATAAAATAAAAATGTAAAAAAAAATGTTTAAAAATTATAATTTTTGGTTATAAACTAATTTGGATTTTTTTTTTTTACTAAAAAAATAACGGAATAAATTTTGGCCAAGATTTATGATGAAATATTATTTATTTGCAAAATTTTATTAAAAAAAACACTTTTTTTCAAAATTTTTGGACTTTTTCATTTACATAGTAAAAAAAATAAAAATCCCAGCGGTGAATAAATACCACCAAAATAAACCTTTATCTGTCTCAAAAAAATGGTAAAAAATTCATATGGGTACAGTATTGCATGACCGCGCAATTGTCATTCAAAGTGTGATAGCGCTGAAAGCTGAAAATTGGCCTGGGCAGGAAGGGGGTAAAAGTGTCCGGACAGGAAGTGGTTAAAAAGGAGCCAAACAACTATGTGATGATAAATGGCTTCATATGATCAGTATCCTTTAATAAAAGCCAGTTTTTGTGGCATGATCAGTCATATGTTCAATATCAATGCCAAAATTTCATGATTTCTGCCAGGGGATGCAAACTTTTGAGCACAGCTGTATGAACATGTTTAAATATGGAGGATCACTAAATAGGTTAATTCGGCAGATGGGTGGTTAATCTGCTCCAGAAATTGTTCTCTACTATTTTTCAAGTACATCTAGCCACATAATAGAGTAGGATGCCTGCTTGGTGCAAACCCTTTAGGTCAGGGCTGAACTGTAAATCAATAGAAATAAGAAATGCATTCATGAAGGAGCTAGATGAGGTCAATCTCTCTCTCAGGTACAAAAGGAGACAGCATGCAGTAAGCACCTAATGTGGTCATAAGTATATTTTCTTTTCTATTCTACACACTTAAAGAAGTCACATTGTCACAATTTGATCATTTAATGCAGTGTGTTGCACAAAAGTGAATTATATTACTAAATGGAACTAACTCGGCTTTAACCATAAATATATGCATATACTGTATATAGCCATAATAAAAAAAACATGCATATACATATACATACCATTATAAATCCCATTACAGTCTTTGCAGATGACACCAAGCTGTGCCGTGGAATAATGTCCTTACAGGATGTCTTCCAACTTACAAGCCAACCTCAATGCACTAAAAAACTGGCTAAAAGATGGTATTCAAAGAGTAGTGGTTATTGATTCATACTCTGAATGGTCTAGGGTTGTCAGTTGTGTACCCCAAGATTCAGGGTTATTAGTGGTGTACCACAAGGTTCTGTGTTCTTAGTGGTGTACCCCAAGGTTCAGTGTTCTTAGTGGGGTACCCCAAGGTACAGGGTTATTAGTGGTGTACCCCAAGGTTCAGGGTTATTAGTGGTGTACCCCAAGATTCAGTGTTATTAGTGGGGTACCCCAAGGTTCAGTGTTAATTAGTGGTGTACCCCAAGGTTCAGGGCTATTAGTGGGGTACCCCAAGGTTCAGTGTTGGGACCCTTACTTTGTAATATATTTATAAACAATATAGGGTCTGGGGTTATAAATCCCATTTCAGTCTTTGCAGATGACACCAAGCTGTGCCGGGGAATAACGTCCTTACAGGATGTCTCCAACTTACAAGCCGACCTCAATGCTCTGTGTAATTGGGGGACTATGTGACAAATGATGTTTAATGTTGATAAATGTAAGGTTCTGCACTTGGGGGCTAAGAATACGCATGCATCATACATACAAGGGGGATGGGGGGGGGTACAACTGGGGGAATCAATGGTGGAGAAGGATCTGGGGGGATCAATGGTGGAGAAGGATCTGGAAGTTCTGGTAGATTACAATCTTAATAATGGCAGCAATGCCAAGCTGCGGGTTCTAAAGCGAGCAAAATGCTCTCTTGTATTAGGAGAGGTATAGACTCCAGAGAGAGAGATATCATTTCCCCCGGTACAAATCATTAGTAATACCTCATCTGGAATATGCAGTTCAGTTTTGGGCACCAATTCACAAAAAGAACATTGGGGAACTGGAGAAAGTACAGAGAAGGGCAACCAAACTGATAAGAGGCATGGAGGAGATCAGCTATGAGGAAAGATTAGAGGAACTGAATTTATTCTCTCTTGAGAAGAGGAGATTAAGGGGGATATGATCTCCATGTATAATACATAAGGGGGGATATGATCTCCATGTATAATACATAAGGGGGATATGATCTCCATGTATAATACATAAGGGGGGATATGATCTCCATATATAATATATAAGGGGGGATATGATCTCCATGTATAATACATAAGGGGGGATATGATCACCATGTATAATACATAAGGGGGATATGATCTCCATGTATAATACATAAGGGGGGTATGACCTCCATGTATAATACATAAGGGGGGATATGATCTCCATGTATAATACATAAGGGGGGATATGATCTCCATGTATAATACATAAGGGGGGATATGGTCTCCATGTATAATACATAAGGGGGGGTATGACCTCCATGTATAATACATAAGGGGGGATATGATCTCCATGTATAATACATAAGGGGGGATATGATCTCCATGTATAATACATAAGGAGGGATATGATCTCCATGTATAATACATAAGGGGGGATATGATCTCCATGTATAATACATAAGGGGGATATGATCACCATATATAATTCATAAGGGGGGATATGATCTCCATGTATAATACATAAGGGGGATATGATCTCCATGTATAATACATAAGGGGGGGATATGATCTCCATGTATAATACATAAGGGGGGGTATGATCTCCATGTATAATACATAAGGGGGATATGATCTCCATGTATAATACATAAGGGGGGATATGATCACCATGTATAATACATAAGGGGGGGGATATGATCTCCATGTATAATACATAAGGGGGGAAATGATCTCCATGTATAATACATAAGGAGGGATATGATCTCCATGTATAATACATAAGGGGGGGATATGATCTCCATGTATAATACATAAGGGGGATATGATCACCATATATAATTCATAAGGGGGGATATGATCTCCATGTATAATACATAAGGGGGGATATGATCACCATGTATAATACATAAGGGGGATATGATCTCCATGTATAATACATAAGGGGGGATATGATCTCCATGTGTAATACATAAGGGGGGAATGATCTCCATGTATAATACATAAGGGGGGATATGATCTCCATGTATAATACATAAGGGGGGATATGATCTCCATGTATAATACATAAGGGGGGATATGATCTCCATGTATAATACATAAGGGGGGATATGATCTCCATGTATAATACATAAGGGGGGATATGATCTCCATGTATAATACATAAGGGGGGATATGATATAACTCAGCCCCAAATTACATCACCGATCTTGTCTCAAAATATCACCCAAACCGTCCTCTCCACTCCTCGCATGACCTCCTGCTCTCTAGCTCCCTTGTCTCCTCCTCCCATGTTTATTCAGAGCCGCCACCATCCTCTGGAACTCTCTACCCCAATCTATCCATCTATCGCCTACTCTGCTCACTTTTAGGCGATCTCTGAAAACCTATCTCTTCAGGGAAACCTATCCTGCCTTCAGCTAATAACAGACTCTTCTATTCCTCCTATCAGTCCATCCCCCACAGTTATTATCTTTTGTACCATCAGCCCCTCCCTCTTAGATTGTAAGCTCCTGAGCCCTGCACCCTGTGCTTAATGTTCCCCTGAACTCTGTGCTTAATATTTCCCTGAACTCTGCACTCTGTGTGTAGCACACTCCTGCAGCCTGTACTTAGTGCAACCCTGAACCCTGCACCCTGTTCATAGTGCACTCCTGAACCTTGTACCATGTGTGTAATGCACTCCTGAGTCCTGCACACTGTGCATAGCACACTCCTGAACCCTGCACCCTGTGTATAGTGCACTCCTGAACTCTGTACTCTGCATAGCACACCCTTGAACCATGCACCCTGTGTGTAGCTCATTCCTGAACCCTGCACTCTGTTTGTGTATTGAACCTCTGAACTTTACACCTTACGTGTAACACACTACTGAACCCTGCACCCTGTTTGCATTGCACTACTGAACCCTGCAATCTGTGTTTAACGCACTCCTGAGCCCTGCAACCTGTGTGTAACGCACTTCTGAATCCTGAACCCTGTGTGTAGCTCATTCCACAATTTGGCCACACACACCATTTTGACAATTCCACATTAAAATACAGACACTCACATGTCCCTCAGTCCAGCCGTGTCCACACCATTGCTGGTTTCACCTGCTGTCTTCACTCACCGGCATCAGTATCTTCAGTGTGGGCACCCGGCTGTGACAGTTTGCGGCTTCACAGCCGAGTGCCCACTGTGTATGCTCGAGTAGCGCTGCACTTTGTGAATGGTCCAGTAGTCTTCTGGGTCCTGTCACATGTCCCAGAAGACTAAGGGGAGGGAGGAGGGAGAACAACTTCTGCTTCCAATCACCTTAGGTGATCACACCGGAGTGGAAGTGGGCACATGTCAAATTTGGGCTCCTCCCCCACTCCCCAAAGGTGCCAATCCTTTACGGGGAGCAAGGGACAAAGCCTTAAAGTGGAACTTCCCTTTTGGGTGGAGCTCTGCTTTTAGGCCATGTCCTCGTGTTCTTGGTTTTGGTTTGGTGTTGAAAATCCTGCCCTCCTGAACCTCATTCACCCCCTTGATGTATTTAAAGGTTTCAGTCATGTCTCCCCTTTCCCTTATTTCCTCCAGACTGGACATGTTAAGTTCCTGAAGTCGCTCTTGATATGTTTTATCCCCCCCAGACCTCTCACCATTTTTGTTACCCCTCTCTGGACTCGTTCTATCTTATCGATATCTTTTTGTAAGTGAGGTCTCCAGAACTGGACAAAGTATTCTAAATGAGGTCTAACTAAAGATCTATATAGGGGAATCAGGACCTCTTTCCTCCTGCCAGTGACCCCTCTAGTAATATGAAGATTTGTATATAGGAATCAGGACCTTCTTCCTCCTGCTGGTGATCCCTCTAGTGATATAATGAAGATCTGTATAGAGCAGGAGTCTCCAAACGTTTGAAACACAGGGCCAGTTTACTGCTTTTCAGTGTTTACAGGGGCCAGACTGTGTTCAGTGGGAGTAGAAAAAGCCATGGGCTTGGTATACTAAATGGGAGGAAAAAAATTGCATAATTGGTGTCAGTGGCGGAAATAGTATCTCATAACTTGTGTCAGTGGAAAGAATAATACCCCATAATTGGTGTCATTGGGAGGAATAGTGCCCCATCATTGGTATCAGTGGGAGGAATAGTTCCCCATTGTTGGTGTTAGTGAGAGGAATAGTGCCCTGTCTTTGGTGTCAGTGGAAAGGATAGTGCCTTGTATCAGTGGGCCTTGAGCCGGATAAAGGCAAGCAAGGGCCACATCCGGCCAGTGGGCCTCAGTTTAGAGAACCTTGGTATAGA